AGGTGAAGGAGGAAATGTGGGCAGAGGTGTGGGCAGACCTGCTGGACAGGATGAGTGTGTGTGTGTGTGTGTGCACAAAACTGCAGGGAAGGGGTTTTGGGATAGGGAAGGGAAGGGATTTTCTGATCTGACCCTCAGAATATTAAGGAATATCATCTAAACACTCAGTTCTGCACATCACTCCCCGATGAGCTCCAGAGGAATTAAGAACCCGTCACCTGCTCAAACCACCAAACCCCACAAACCCAAGTTCCCTCCTGCAGCTGTTTCCTTGGAATCCAAGCTGGAGGAGGGACCAGCTCAGGGGGAAGAGAGGGTTTTGCTGTGCCATGGCCTTGTTTTAACAGCTCTTGTTCTCCTTCCAGGGACAAACTGTGTGGGAAGCTGTTCTGCTCCGGAGGGACGGAGTTGCCTCGGGATGGGAGCCTGGTCACTGTTAATTCCTGCAAAGCAAGTTTTCCTAGAAATGGAGATGAGGAGGACCTGGGGATGATTCTTGATGGAACCAAGTGTGGGAACGGGATGGTTAGTAGGGAATAACTTTTCTCCATATTTTCCCCTCCTCTTTCAGTCTTGGCTCATTCTCAAGGATAATTTTAAACAGGGAAGGCTGAGCTGACACCAGACTTCTGCTGATGTTCCCTACATCTACCCCAAACCAGTAACAAAGCAAACAGGAACTCCCACAATTCCAAATTCCTTCAGCTTGGCTGCTGCCCCTTTATTTTTTTCCTGACACAAACATATGTGGCAACAGAAACACCCCTTTGTACGAAGGTTTTAGGTAGAAGATCATAAATGTATTATTACATGTAGTGATTCCCATCATGGATGTGCCAGGAATCTCTTAAGTTCTAGTCCCAATTTTCTTTTTGGAAGGGGAGGGATGTCTGTACATCTTTGTCATTCCCCTTTGTTGTAAAACACCCAAAGCTCAGAAGAAAAATTATCCCCCTAAGGTGGGTTTAAGTGATTTGTAGAGGTGTTCCCATGTCTCCTTGTGCTCTTCATCCCTTCACATGATGATGTTCCAGCTCTGCACCTTCTGGAAGCTCTGAATCCCTCTGGGAACCTTTCATTTCAGGTGTGCAGCAGTGGAGAGTGTGTCTATGTTGAGGAGGTCTTTAGATCAACCAACTGCTCTGCCAAGTGTTCTGGACACGCTGTAAGATCTGAGATTTGATGCCATTCACTTTAAAATGGTGCATATCAGCTGCAGACCTTATTGCTGAGGGTATTTAAGTCACTGAGATGGGAGTTGGTAAAAATTGGGGAGGCAGAAGCTTCTTATATTTTTATGAAAGCAAATCTAAACTGAGACAGGATCAGTGTTTTTACCAAGGAGACCACAGGAGGTGGACACAGCCTCTGTGTCTGGCCCTGCCCCTGAGCCACAGCACCACAGCTCTGCTCCTTTAGGTCATTTTGGGGTTGGGAAGACAATGTGTGACCATTCAGAGACCTGCAGATGTGTGGGTTAACCCTGCCTTGTACTGCAGCTCTCACCTGCAGGACAGCAGTGCCCCAGGGCTGCCCTCTAACCCCCAAAACTGCTCCTCCCTGGGCCAAATTTTTTAACTGAGAGCTTCAATAAACTCACCAGAGCCACCCAGTGACATCCCAATTCACTCCCATTCCCAAGCTGAAGGTCTTTGTGCCTCCCCAGGTGTGTGACCACGAGCTGCAGTGCCAGTGTGAGGAAGGATGGGCACCACCCACCTGTGACAGCTCCTCAGCCTTCACCAGTAAGTGCTGCACGGCCACACCTTGGGATCTGCCCTCTCCCGGCTGGAATGAGCCTGTGAACTCCAGGGAAACAGCCCAGCACTGGAGGCCAGGCTGGGTCATGGAATTGTGGAGGCTGGAAAAGCCCTCTAAGGTCGTGGAGTCCAACCATCCACCAGCAGCACCCCCATGTTCACCACTAATCCCATCCCCAGCTGCCACATCCACGTGTTTTTAGAACACTTCCAAGGGTGGGGACTCCACTATTCCCCTGGGCAGCCTTAACACCTCTTTCACTGAAGAAATTTCCCCTGATATCCAACATAAAATCCCATTTTTTTGCAACTATTGCATATCTGGGTAGGTGATTTCTGAGTATCTTGAAGCCCCTGCTGCTTGTAGGAACAAGCAGAGCAAGGACTTTTCTTTCTGAGCTGGCAAGAGGGGAGCAGCTTCTCCCCTCTCCATGCTGGGATAGGGAGTTCACTGTCACCTCAGAGTGGAGCCAAGATCCCACAAACTTTGCTATAAGGGAGGTGGACAAGTTCCTTTATCATCTGCAGGCAGCTGGTTTTTAACTGATCTACCTCTGAGGGAAAACACTTCCTGGATAGATTTCCATCTGTCTGGGAAAAAAACCAACCAGCCTTTATTTTATTTATAATATAAATGTGTTTGTCCTCTCCCCACACTCCCCAGAGCACCATCAGCTCTGAACATCAGGGTTTGGTTGAAGGACAGTTGTGAAGGAAATCTCACTTGAATGCAGTTTTGGGTAACACCCTTTGGAGGCAGAGGAGAGGAGTGACACCCAAAGGATCTTTGAGGCTGGATGGAAAGGACAGGGATTGTTCAGGGTTTGCTTAGCCCTGGACAGGCTTCAAATCTGGCAAAACCACCTCCATCTGTGCCAGGAGAAGAAGCCACAAAGTGAGGACAAACAGGGTCCAGACCTTGGGAAAAAAATTCCTTTGCCAATGGTGGTGATGGGAGACTTCTCGAGAACAGTGGATCTCTTGGATCTCTGTCCAAGCTGGAGGATTCTGGGATGTTTAAGGAGTGTCTCTTGTCTCTCCCTGGCAGGCATTGCCATCGTGGTTGGGGTGCTGGCTGTCCTGGCTGTCACAGCCATTGCAGCTGTGCTGCTCATCCGCTTCCGAGTGGCCAAGGAGAGGTAAATCCTTCCCCACTGACCGAAAAAAACCCCCAAACCAAAGCCATGGAATATCTGGATGGGTTTAACTTCGAGTTTTCAAAGGGGGTGGGGGGAAATCAGAAAGCAAAAAGCCAAGGAACTCCTTGAGCTTTGCTGAACTGCTTCAGAGTTCTCATATTTGGGAGAGGAGTGAAGATTTGAAATGCAAGATTAATCAAATTAATCAAGATTAATCCTTAAGAAATAAGATAAAAAAGCAGGGCCATGGCTGTAACACACCACTGGGAGTAAGGCAGGCATTCAACTGCAAGTTTATTTGCTTCAGTCAAGGTAAGATTTCCCACCACATGAAATATTTTACAGCCACCAGAACAGGAGTGGACCTGGAGCCACCAATCAAGTGTTTGTGGATCAGGAGCAGAGGTGCAGAGAACCCCCAGGCCTGGCAGTGCCCACCCAGAAGGTGAGGGCAGGGAGGTGCTGGGGCAGCTGGGTCTGCCTGAGACTGTCCCAGCCACCAAAACCCATCAGCCAAAGTGGGCTCCTCTTCCTCCAGGGCCCAAAATGCTTCTCCAGGGCTGAGAGGGCAGAGCTGGGAATGCCAGCACGGGTTGGGAGTGGGGACAGCACGTGGGGCTGAGTCCCTGAGTGACAGTAAAGGGACACAGGGAGATGACACACGAGACAAGGGCTCCATCCCATGGGATTGTTCCCTGTTTGCAGGTGGATGGGAAGAAACTCCTGCTCCCTGTGCCTCCACCTCAGGAGAACAAACCCCAGCTCCAGAGTGTAAGTACTGCCAGGGAATGGCTCTGCTTCCCTGCTGCCTTTGGGGAAGAAATCCCATCCCATCCCATCCCATCCCAAACCAGCCACAACCTGCTCCCAAAGGCTGGGCAATCCCTGAGCTCCCACCCAGGGATTTCTCAGGGCCAGGCAGCACTTCTTACATCAAACACATTCCCATGGGACCACGGGCATGCACAGTGTGTGCAGAGAGCCAAAATGTTTTCTGTTCTGTTTTTTCCAGCCTGCCTTGAGGCCCAAAGGTCCCCCACCTCCTGTTCCTTCCACCAAACCAGGCTTGTCTCACCCAGAGGAGAAGTTTGTAAGTACAGCCCTGCCCTTCTCCCACATTTCCTCTGAGTAGCAAAGGATTGTCAGATGCCAAACAGTATTTTTCAATTTCTGACCATGATTTAATATAAAAATTAAAACTCACAGCCATTCAAACCACAGATTCTTTAAGTAAAGAGTCACCTTTTTTATCACATAATCCTAAACTGCACAAGATACTCTTGGATACTCAAGGAATCCTTTCAGCCATCACATGTCCCTCTCAGCAGCAAAAGCACATGCAGTTCAAAGCAACAGGGATTTGGGGTGTAAATCAATGCAAATGAAGGACAAATTTGCTCCTCCAGGTGTCTGGGATGGTCCCTGTAGTGCAGAGATGTGCTGGGCTCTGCCCTCAATGTGTGTTTTGAATTGTTAAAAAAAATTGGAAACTGGAAGGATGTGAATATTTGTCATTAATAAACCCAGAGTACCCTAATTAAAAGAAAACCTCCCTCAAATATTCACCATCTCAGCCTTTGAGCCCCCTGCTCAAGGGTGTAAAAACCATTTTCAGCTGGTGCCATCACTGTGGCAGTGCCTGCACAGAGAATGCTGGGCCAGGAATAAACAAAACAGAAATTAAAACACTCCCCCATATCAGCTTGGTTGTAAAACCACATTTGGATGCCCGTGTGTTTAGAGAGGCTTCCTCAACACACACCTTGAGCTTCCTCCTCGTTTTTTTGAGCACAGACACCCAGCCCAGGTGAATTTAAATACTGAGCACAGCTCAGTGGCTTCTGAAAGGGATCTGCCCTCTTGTCTGGTGGTAATTTGGCACGTGGAGACATTAATCCACTTCCCCTGCAGCATTTCCACTGGGAAATGTTGTGGGAAATCCATGAGAACACCTGAGGTCTGGGGAGGTTCTGGACAGGAAAACCCAGTGACATTTAAACTGCATTTTGTTCCAGGCACCAGAGAGGAAACCTCCTCATCTCCCAGGCCCCAAACCTCCACCAAAGGTAACCCAAGTTCCATCGGGAACAGCAATTCCTTTGGGATGTAATTCCTTGAAACAGCCTCTGACGTGTGATTTAACTCCTTCTTTTCCTCCCAGGCTTTAAAACCCCCGATGAATCCCCGAGTCTGAAGTTTCTGACCCAGGGCTGGATGGAGACATTTGCAGGGACAATTTGTTTGCCCCTCCATTCCTCCCCTTTTGGCAAAGGCATCCAGGATCATCTTCCTCTTCTCCTTGGAACATGAACGATGGACTGGCGGCTGCTCGGGAAGAACAGGGTTGGACTTGGAGCAGTGAGGAACATTTTGGTGGTGACACAGAGCTCCTGCCCAAGAGGAAAGGAAGCAGAGTCACTCTTTGCACTGAGGTGTAGGCTGGGAGGAAGTTCCCAAAGCTGCTGAGCACATCCCAGCTCCTAAGCCAGCACCCAAGGTGTGGCTGCACCCAAACTGCTCCTCTGGGCACAGACCCCAGGGGGTGAGGGAATGGGAACTCTTGGTTTTGCTCCATTTTGGGATCTCTGCCAGCCCCTCTCCCTCCTCCACAACACACCAGACCTTCTTCACACATCATCCTAAACTGCACAAGATACTCTTGGATACTCAAGGAATCCTCTCAGCCATCACATGTCCCTCTCAGCAGCAAAAGCACATGGAGTTCAAAGCAACAGGGATTTGGGGAGTAAATCAATACAAATGAAGGACAAATTTGCTCCTCCAGGTGTCTGGGATGGTCCCTGTGCTGCAGAGGTGTGAGTTCTGGAGACAGACAAACCCTTCCTGCCCTTTGGAGAGGAGTTGGTGTCCTCGGGGTCTGAACCAGACGTGAGATGACACACTGGAAATGGGGTCTGGAATGATCCTTTGGGATGGGATTCTCCCAGTAACCCTTAAATTTTCTGTTAAACAAGATCCTTGTGGTGAGTAGGGAGAACTGGAGAGACTCAGGAGCTCCAAGTGCTGCTCCAAGTGTTCCAGAGCTCCGGCTGTGCCGGTTCCCAGAGCTCCAGCTGCTCCACTGCCCTGGGACAGGGAAACCCAGCAAAGCAGCCCCACCAAAACCCTTCCCCAGTCCTTTCCCTGGCCCCTCAGCTCCACAAACATCCCAGGATTCCTCCCTTCCAGGACACTCCCACCCTCCCTCACTGCTCCTGTTTCCCTGGGCTCACCCCGGGGGGTTGTTGTGGGGTCATTCCTGGGATCCAGGGGTTGTTTTTGGGGGATGAGGATTCCCACTCTGCTCCATTCCCGAGGGTCCCTCATCCCTCCTGCCCTGTTGGCATCACTCTGGGCACTTTGAGCAGCTGGGATGGCTCTGTTGGCACTGCTGTTAATTAATGTTAATTAATGCTGTTAATGGTGTTGGGAGCTGCTGTTGCCACTGGCACTGGGAGCATCCCAGTGCTCGGAATCCAGGGTTGGAAGGTCAAGCTCCCAGAAGTGTTTTTTCAAGAGCAAAAATTCTAACAGGGAGGGGGAAAAAAGAAAAAAAGAGAAAAAAATAAGGAAAAATAAAAGAGGGAGAAAGGAACTTGCCCTGGATTCAAAGCACTCAAGATTTGATGGAGTTTCCAGTGAGAACTGGGTTTAGGTTTGGAGCAGGATCAGAATCAGATCACGGATCCAGTTGATCACACTGGGACTCAGGAAGGCTGTTTCCAGCCTTTGGGCACAGTGGCTTTGCTGGAGAAGCCAAATTCCCAAATTTCCGTGATTTCCAGTGACCCTCCTTGAGCTCTCACACTTCAGACCCACCCTCTCTGCTCCAGAAATCCAGAGAAAACTCCAATTTCTCCTCTTGGGCTGGGCTTTGTCCGAGGTTTCCAACCCCTGCAAAGCACAGGTGTGATGGAATTCCAGTCTGGTTTGAGGAGGGAGGTGGGATTTTGGATTAGGATAAATGTTACTGGAAGAGCAGAGCTTTCTTCTGCTTTGGATTATTGCTGCTTTATTTGAGTCAGGAACGGATTTGAACCCATATCTGTGTTTGACTGTGGTGTAAAGACTCAGAACTTATTTTTTATGAGCTGTAATTAATGTATGTACAAAGATTTCTGTATTAAAGTGTTCTCTCTAAATGGGAGGTAGTCGCTGTATTTTTTAAAAACCATCATTTGCACATGAAAAATCGTGTAAGGTGGGACCATTTATAACAATGCCAAACCCCTAAAATTCCCAGTTTTAAACAAAAAAAGTATTCACAGGTGTAGCAAAACTGCCAAGTTAGCCAGTTAATTTAATTATTAATTTAATTTATTATGTAAATTTAATTAAATTATAAGTTAAATTATAATTTAAATTAGAATGAGCTTATATTTAAAATTATAAAGAGAATTTAAATGATAAGATATTCCATCCCAACTTTTCTGCCACCTTAAAATCTATTTCTTTCCTTTTTCCAAACTTTGTGAGCACTCCAGAATTTTCCAAGGACGGAGATATTTGCAGCAATAGAGAATTGCTGTTTCTTCATTATCTTCCTAAGATTCATCTCCCAAACCAGGGAGCTTGGGCTGCCTTTTCTCCTGCAGAACCCCAAATATCTGAACCCTTCCAGTGCCTCTCAGAGACCAAAGATCCACTTTCAGCAGTGACTTGAAGCAGAAACTTGGGAAAAATGTATCTATTTTATATATAATTTATTATTCCCCAATAATTTATTATTATTATATATAATTTATTGTTACCCCGGGGTAGTAATAAATTATATCTGGAATATACACAGCTTTCCTTGGCCCCAAGAGCCCAGGACAGGTGCCAGCCCCTCCTGCCTTGGAGAACACGTCGTTATTTCCATGGTTTGTACAGTCTCTTGTTCTGTTGTACAAACGTGACATCTGCTGTTAAAAACCCTCCACTGCAAGAGGGAAAGGGTTTAAAAATCCATAATATATCGTTAACCTCCTGTGCAGGAGCCACAAGACCCTTCCCTTGCTCCCAGCCTTAGAGAAAAGCAGTTTATTGCTGGTTTGGGGCTGGTTTTATTTTGCTGTGAGTGAACACTCCGCTCCTCCACCCGCCCCAATTCCACGGGGAAAACAAAAATGTCTTTTTTTTTCCCCCGTTGCTTTTCAACCTCTGAATTGGTAGAATCAAAGAATTGTGGAATTGGGGTTGGGTTGGGTTGGGAAAGCTCACCCAGTGCCATGGGCAGGGACAACTTCCACTATCCCAGGCTGCTCCAACCTGGCCTTGGACACTTCCAGGGATGGAAAATCCACAATTGTGTTCCAATTTCCCACCCTCTTTCCTCCCTCTTTCCCCTCCCTCCATCCCTACCTGAGTTTGGTGCTCTTTGCACCCCCAACCCAACCTTCCCCGGGAAACATTTTTGGGGGCTTCCCGAAAACCAGCCACGCTCCCAAGAGCCCGAATTCCCAGGAATTGTCCCCTTTTGCCCTGCACATTCCGCGCTGGCCGTTAGAGGGCAATGGGACACGGACCACTAGAGTCTCCTGTCGCTGTGGGATCACCGGCATCGCCTCCAACAAACCGATCCCGCATTTCCAGCACCCTCCCGACCTTGGGCTGCGCATCCCGGAGACGCCGCCAAGGACACGGGCAGGAGCGGGGAGTTGGAGCCCGGGCAGGGTTTCAGACACGGAGGCACCAGACAGCTCATAAATAGGCTGATCCCAACCCTCCAAACGTGACACCACAGACAGGACCTGCCTGGGGCTCTTCACGACAAGAGGCAGTTTTTAATCGATCCAGGTTTTACTGCCCAGAAAACCGAGTGTTGTCCTACGAGCCCTCATCAACATGAATCACAAACATCCCCTGGGACTTGGAATTAAGCGGTTTTTTTCTGCTTTTGCTTCCCCCTGCGCATAAATCGTCGCCTTCTTGACAAAGGAGTGAATAAAAGGCTTCAGGCTGGAGCCACTGATGTGCAAATCAGTGGGAACTCCTGGAAATATTGAAGATTTCCCCTCTGACAGTCCCTGAGAACTCAGACCTTGCTGGTTGTCCACCACCAAACTGAGCTTGGTGGTCTCCAGGGCTACAAAACAAGTGGTTCTTACTGTGGCAGCCTTTGCTATTGGCTGATAATTCAGGAATTATAGGATATGGAATATCTCTAGTTGGAAGGGGCCCACAGGGATCATCCAGTCCAGCTCCTGGTGCTGAGGAGGGGAATAATCCCACCCTGTGCTGAAATGTGAACCTCAACCATCAGCCACCTCTGGCTGAGAAATGCCATTAATCATCAGATTACTGATTAATTAATTAATGTGGTATCGCTGGATGCTTCTAATCCTCCTCTGGTGCCGAGGAAACGGGAGGCCCAGGCAAAGGAGGAGGGTGGTGCCAGCATTTCTCCTGGTCCCTCATCACTTTAAAACCACCCAGAAAAGTGGCAGAGAGATTAACAGGCTGTTACTGACATTAGAGCCATAAATAATTCCACCAAAGACGTGGCCCTGGCCTTTAGAAGGTCTCAGGGAAAAATAGCAGAGGCTGAAATATTGATAGATGTGTCTGCAAGAGCTGTTAGAAAAGGGAAAGTGCTTTCCATGGGATTGGGGTGAGACCCAGGATGAGGACAAAGGAGGGAACTTTGGTCACATCCTGACAAAACAGGAGTGCACAGCACCAGGAAACAGGATAAATAAAAACAACACATAAAAAACAACCCTATTTCAGCAGGACTTCAGAAAGGGAGGCAAAAATCCTCTTTAAACAGGCAAAAACTGTGGTGAAAGAATGGAGAACATCTCCAGCAAGAGTGAGAACAGGTGAGGGCAGAGCTCAGGTGTGTTCACCCCGGGCTGCAGAGACAGAAAACATCTTTCTTACACCTGTTAGGACACGGAGGGAGAAATGAGCCTCTCCCTGCCGTGCCCTGGATCTATTTTTGCGTGTCCTGGAGTGCACTGGAGAAATGTATTTTCCATGTTCCATCTCCCAGGCGCGTCCCCGGATCCCACTGGTGCTCACGTCACGTCAAAGTGCTGCAGAGACGCTCCTACATCCAACATCTTCCCAAATCAGGTCACCCAAAAACGCCTCCTGCCCAGCCCCATAACGTGACAGGGCTCCAGGAAAGGCTCCATGGAAGAAAAACCCATGGGATGACTCGGATGGAGAGGGAAAAACAAATTATAGCAGAGCCTCCCTGTTAAGGTGCTGGAGCAGAACGTGGTTCACTCCCTGCAGAGACACCTTCACACCTGAGGACAGCAAGGAAATTCCCACATCTGAGCCACATCCCAAGGCAACAGCCCCTTTTCCACTCTCCAGGACTGATTCCCACACCAGATTCCTTGGCAGCAGCAACCAAAGTCTGGCTTTCCAGAGGAGTTTTAGCACTTTCCACCCACCCAGCAGGCTCAGCTCGCTCACCTGGAAACCCAATTCCAGCCTCCAGCTCCCTGGGATCCAGCTCTGCATGTTCCCAACGACACTGTTTCCTCTTTCCTTTCCCTTTCACCCCCCAAAATTCAGAGCCCCCACTGGCTGCACCCCCTTTTTTGGGGGGAGTTATGGAACCCCCCCCGTGCTGGGGGCACCTCTCGGGGTCCCCACTCTCTTTTTGTGGCCCCTCTGGCTGAGAAATGCCATTAATCATCAGATTACTGATTAATTAATTAATGTGGTATTGCTGGGTGGCCCCACAAAGCTCTGTGGGTCGGGATATTTGCTCAAAGGTTGGGCTTGATGACCTTGGAGGTCTTTTCCAACCTTAATAATTCTGTGACCCTACAAAAGTGGCCTGGTTTTGTGGGTTTTGAGGCTTCAGTGGCAAGAATGACTTGCAGTTGCAACACTAAAGCACATATATATATAAAAACCCCTGATGCTGCCAGCTCTCAACACCCAGGAAGTGATGGTGATGCTTTGCTGGGATTGATCTTTGTTGGACAATCCCTAAACTGAGGCCCTGAAAAGGAAAACAAAGAAAAACTCCTTAAAAAAGAAAACAAAGAAAAGTCCTTAAAAAAGAAAAAAGGGAGTAGGTGGTGGAGAGAGAATTATTGTAACATTTGGGTTGGAAAAGCCCTCTGAGACCATCAAGTCCAACCATTCCCCTGTCAAGGCCACCACTGACCCATGTCCCCAAGTGCCACATCTTTTAAATCCCTCCAGGAATGGGGGCTCCATCGCTTCCCTGGGCAGGACAACCCTTCCCACGATGAATTTTCCCCCTAATACCCAACTCAAACCTCCCCTGGCACAGCTTGAGGCCGTTTGCTCTTTGTCCTGTGGCTCATTCCCGGGGAGAAGAGAAGCCCCAGTGGGCCCCTGGTTTCACCCCCCATCACCAGAGCTCTGGATTTGCCGTGAATTTTTCATGCTGGAATCAGCTGAGTGCTGCAGGCACGTACTGCATGGCAAATCAGCCTGAAATATTGATGATCCACTGCAGAGGATCATCAGGGAAAGATCTCCAAATGAGGACAGGGGACCTCAGGCAGCCCTGCTGGAACCACTCCCTCTCTGCCCAAAAAAAAAGGGGAGTTAAATGAGGATGAGCTGCCCCAGAGGTGCTGGG